GTGCTGTGGGATTTGCTGATGGAGTAGGTGGAGGTCTAAGAGAAAGGCAGAATCCTAGAATGAGTAAAAACTATTGAAAATTTGGAGGACAGAAAGCAGATGAATTAAAATAATAGTAACTGTTAGCTTTAATTGAGTATTTACTATGTATCAAGCATCGCGCTAAGTCCCTCACATTATTTATGCCTATGTATGACCCCAATTAAAGATAAGGGACCAAGGCTAAGCAAGACTAAGTAGCTTGCCGGTCACAGAACGAGGGTGGCAGGGAGACTGGGCTATATGCAGTCTGGCCGCAGATTGCACACACCCATTTTTTTTTTTTTTTTAACTTTTTTTATTTTTGAGAGACAGAGAGCACAAGCAGGGGAGGGACAGAGAGAGAGAGGGAGCACACAATCGGAAGCAGGCTCCAGGCTCTGAGCTGTCAGCACAGAGCCTGACACAGGGCTTGAACTTGTGAACCTCAAGATCATAACCTGAGCTGAAGTCAGAAGCTTAACCGACTGAGCCACCAGCTGCTCCAGAGTGCACACCCTTAATCCTCCATGAGATACACCCTCTATATTCTCTGAGAAGGCAAAGATTACCCATGGTTGGGAAAGGGAGAGTGCGGAAGGAGGCCAAGATTGGAAGTACAAAAAGAATATTACTGATTAATTAAAAAAATATGAATCAAAGATTTAAATAAATAATAAGACAGTTGTTGCCAGTGCTTTCTTAGGGGGGTTGCTATGGTTTGGGGCTTAGCCTCCCGTGGTGGCTTATGCCACGGCTAGGTGAAGAGAATGATCAAGCTGCAATCTTTCCGGACCCCTTCAAAAGTGGTGTCAGGTACAGAGGATCCCAAATACTGAGTGATCCCTCCAGCTGCCACATGGGCATGGAATGGATTCCAGGCTTCCAGTCCTGTGAGATAAACATCCTCTAGATCTCGTTTAGCATAAACACTGACCTGAAATCGAGGAGCCCAGTGAGATGGAAGGTGAATCATGACGTATTTATTAAGCCGAGCACCGGGTCTGACACTCACAGGAACACCAGATTAATTCAAGACACATTTCTTGCCTTTAAGGGGCTTACAGCATTGACTTGGCTTATGGACCACCCAACCACCATTAGGATGGAGAAACCAAATCTCCACTATGGGCTTATTGTGCAGCACGATGTGACAGGCCAGGAGATTAAAAGGGCCTTGGTGCATGTGGAATGCATGCATGGCCTGCAGCCCCTCAGCCTGTGTGCATTAACTCCGGGAGCCGCCTGGCTGCAGAGTGAAGGTGGCTGTGCATAAACATTGTCATTTCACTGAGACTGCTATTTCATCTTTGAACTTTGGCTTCAAAGGAACACTGACCTTATTCCTGTAGCTTGCCTCTCTTTGAAGCCTATGGCTTTGCATTGCAGATTAAAGTGAAGATATTCATCAAGGGACAGATCTGGCCAACTGCTCCCCAAACTCAACCTGAAACAAAGCCTTGAAAGGCTCCAATCACAGTTGCAGTGGAGTGGGCCAAAGATGAAGGCTCGGAGCCTGGCTCTCTTTCTCAGATCCTGTAAGGCAGCTCTGGCATGACATAGTACATCCCTTTGAGCTCCAGGCAACTTTACCCCGAGTGTATATCTCAGCAGAAAGGGGTGAGTTAATGCAATATTCCCAACCTGTCCTATTCATTTCATTTAAAGCAGGCATTGTTGTAAATGAGGCCAGCATGAATATTCACTGGTGCCTTTGAATTCTTCAAAAGATGTGTCAGGCAGAACCATCTGAAACTTGGCGGATGATTCTGTCAATTTTCTTTTCTACTACTTTCCTTTGTTCATCCCTTTGAAAAGAAATTGTCCTGTCTTTCCCCTTGGGTCCTCCCATCTTGGCTCTTAGAAAACAGACACCACACATTGCCTTCTCTGTTCTTTTTTCTTTCTTTTCCCTATTAAGATGGCAGAAGGAGTAAAGTGAGAAAGTTTAACTGGGAGGTAAAAAGAATAATAACCAACTAATTAATTAGAAGGCTAAGAGAGAGAACCAAGGGAAATATCTCCCACCTCAGAGGAAGAAAAATTGATGCTAGAAGACTATCAAAGAACAAATGATCAAATCTTTCAATGTGGTTTTTCTGCAGATCTTCATCTGTGATCAGATAAACAGAGTGAGTTCTGTCTGTGATGAAGAGGTAAACCAATCCAGAGGAGGCAAGGAAATGATTATCAGGTTGGGTACATGTAAATTAACTGACTCTGAGAGCATATACACTAAAAGGTTTAAGAAATTAGTGTTCCTAATTTTTGGATGACTTCCTTCCTTCCTTCCTTCCTTCCTTCCTTCCTTCCTTCCTTCCTTTTTCTTTCTTTCTTTCTTTCTTTCTTTCTTTCTTTCTTTCTTTCTTTCTTTTTCTTTCTTTCAGTTTATTCATTACATGAGAGAGAGAACACAAGGAGGAGAGGGGCAGAGAGAGAGGGAGAGAGAGAGAGAGAATCCCAAGCAGGCTCTGCACTGTCAGTGTGGAGCCTGATGTGGGGCTCGAACTCATGAACCACCAGATCATGACCTGAGCCAAAACCAACACTCAGACACTTAACTGAGGTATCCCCAGGCACCCCTCCTAGTTATTCAACTTTAAAATAATACCATTTTTGTCACTGTAGGACAATTCATTTAACTCGTATTTTAGCTTAAATTTCAAACAACTGTTTTCCATTAAGAAATGCATGAAGTTCAGGAAGATCATCAATATAGCTTCCTGAGAAGCCAGAGGTTCCAGACCAGTTTTTTCATGCAACTAGGACAGCTCACATGGGAGCAACTCTATTTCTAGCTTTGGTTTTAAAAGGTTGAAAGGTTACCTGCTTATCTCTGCCATATCCTTTAATTTACTAACTCCCTCTCCCACAAATTTGGGTGTGGTCATATGCCTAGTTTAGGCCAAAGGACTATAAGCAAGGTAGTAAGTGTCTTTTCCAGGCGGATGCTCCTCTGTTCTCTGCCAGGAGACTGCCAAGCCTTAGGCTACAAGTAGCCTGAGTCACTGCCCCCATGGAGGACAGCTGTGCAGAGAGTTGTCTATTTGTATTAGACTTGGCATGAGCAAGAACTAAACTTTGGTTCCAGGAAGCCATAGAGAGTTTCAGGGTTTATTTGTTATGGTGGCATAACTTTTCTTATCCTGACTAATCCAGGGCCTTGGAGGACATCTAGTCTTACCTCTCTTCCATCATAAGAATCTTTCCTACAGCACCCCTCTATGTGGTCCAAATACTTATCACCTGAGATTTGAACACCTCAATAATAATAGCAAATAACAGTAGTGAGCAATTATAAGATGGTCACTAAATAATTGTTTTCAGACATAATTTTAAGAATTTTATATATCTTAATTTACCTAATTTTCACAGAAACATGAGCTCAATCAATATTATTTTCCTAATTTTACAGTGGGAGGAACGACACATTGGGAGGTAAACTTGCTCAGAGGTGAACAGATAAGTTAAATCACTTGTTAAAGCACGAGTAAATAGCATCCCAGGAGTCACATCCAGGTAGCAGCTTTCAGTTTATGCCTTTAACCATTGCACCACATGGACTCCCTAGATTGGATTTTTATTTCCTTTGCACGCGGACGATTCAACAACAGACAGAATCATAAAACCCCAAAGACAAGATTGGAAGAGACTTTGGAGAACAGTCAATCACTGCATTTTACATGGAAGAAGAAAATCTTTCTGCAAGCCATTTTCCTGTTTTAGTGAAAAGTAAAGGTCTATCTCGGGGATTTTTTTTTTTTTTAATTTTTTTTTCAACGTTTATTTATTTTTGGGACAGAGAGAGACAGAGCATGAACAGGGGAGGGTCAGAGAGAGAGAGGGAGACACAGATTCGGAAACAGGCTCCAGGCTCTGAGCCATCAGCCCAGAGCCCGACGCGGGGCTCAAACTCACGGACCGCAAGATCGTGACCTGGCTGAAGTTGGACGCTTAACCGACTGCGCCACCCAGGCGCCCCTATCTCGGGGATTTTCAAACCAGTGTCCTGGGGAGCACTAGGACCTCGGGGGCTGCCAGCATGAAGGTAGGTAGAGACACAACTTCAACCAGCTCAGCCCTGTTCCGATCTGTTGTATATAGGAGACTTCTGGGTAAAATTTGTATGTGAATAAAGTACTCTGCTGTTTTAATAAAATTGGGAAATGGATCTCCCCATGCTTGTACTGAAGCAGGAGGCTTGGAAGGTTGCACTCAACAATGGAGGGCTTCCCACCAGCTGGGAGTTGAGGGGGGGGAGCACATGGATTTTATGGCTCAGGGACCAGTCCTGGGGCCAGGATAATCTGCTACTTCCATAAATGCATTCACTCGATTGCCTGGCAGCAAGACTGCCTTATTCATCATTGTATCCCCACTGTGATATGTAGTAGAAGCTCTGTAAGCTGTATCTAAGAGATAGAAGGAGAGTTCCAAAAGGCTTTGATGAAACAATTTTTCAAAGAGACGATTAAGCTCCTTTGGCTTGAGCAAAGAAACACACTTTGGTGGTGACCCAAATGTCTGCAAAATGACTGGGAAGTTGTCGTGTGTGTTCTGTCCACATATCCTCAAGTGGGCAGTGGTAACCAAACCCTTCCCAACTTCTGGCTTGTTTCCAGGGAAACACAAGTGACGGCCCCAAGCAGGCACAGGCAAACACATACCGCTGTTTGCTTCATTTTAACGGAACTGATCACACAAAATTATCCAACTTTGCTGATCATGTTAAGAGGTGAATTAGAAAGTTTTCTTTGCTTAAAAAAAAGCATTTCTTTCTTTTTGTGTGTGTGCTAGTGTATTTTTGTACTATGGGTTATTATATATCACGTACAAATTGGGTTTGTACAAATTGATTTTACAAATTGGGTGAAGACAAAGGTATATATCTGAGAAGGGGGCAGATTGATAAGGCAGAAGGGAGACAGAGAGAAGTTTAAGGAAGGATTTACGGGAGTTGTGCTCCCCTCATACCCTCTTACCTTGTGTGGTTCCATCCAGTCCCATGATAAATTTCATTGATCTGATGATTTGCTCTGCTATTGGTGGGCTCATGGATGTAGCATAAGCAGCACTATGTGAGTGAACTCGTAAATAATCCACAAGGTCCTTTAATAAAAGAGTAAGCCCCAAAAGAAGGCAAATAAGTCTCAGTGTTTGTGGTGAGAATTATATCTCATCCCCTCCCCACCTACCATAGGACAAGACATTTGATTCTCGAATGTGGTCTGATTTTCAAGGGGGAATCACCAAACAGTTTATTTTGTGTTATTTCTTCTTCTTAGCCTCTCCCTCAAAAACCTACATGGCATACAAAAGTGGGATGCTGAGAATTCCAAGTTAAAGTCTGTAAGGCAAAACTACATGTGTAAAGGAAAAACGATTTCCCAAACATTTGTTGAATACCTAGCACGTAGGAGCACTGGCTTTGTATGCAGGAATCTCCAAAGAATACAGGATGTGCTTCTTGCCCTTGAGCCTACAACATTAGATTGTGCCCAGGGAAAAGTGATGGGAGGAAAAGTAACAGGACGTGCAAACCTGTATATGCAATAGGGTGATAAGACTTTGGAAGACAGGGATGGGTATTGCTAGTGGGAGCAGAGTGGGAAGGAGGGCTTCAGTGAAGAGGAGGAGATGGGGAAGGAGGGCTTCAGTGAAGAGGAGGAATAGTCTTAAAGAATCAAGACAGATAAAGAAGAAAAGGGAGTGGCAGAAGGGAGAGGTGGGAAATTAAACCAGATTATACATGAGGACAAGATAGACTCTGGTTATGCCTTGGTCAGCAGACAGCTATTGCAATTTTTGTGCAACGTTATTTGGAGTGCTGACCCACTGCAGATGCTGGTCTTTAGTGATAGGAATGACTCTTTGCTTGCATGCCTGACTCCTGAGGCCAAATAGAAGGTCCCAGGTAAGCTTGCTGAAAGCCTTAAGAAGCTCCTATAACACAATGCCACAGTGGGGAGGGCCATAAGCTTGCATCTGGAGGTGCTCAGTATTGACTGACTGGACCATCCACTGGTCCACCTGTGCTGGCTCATGGCTTAGGACCCTCAGGATGCTCTGCAGAAGACCTAGTGGGCTGATGATAGTTCTCAAATTAGCAATGAATCAGAAAAGGATCAGCCACCTTCTCTTCAAAGATGAGGAGACAGTTTAGAATCCCACTGAGGGGTCTTTTCTGATCTATTCCCTCATAAGGTGAACTGGGTAAAGCCCTGCTTTGGGCAGACCCATCTCCTCCTAAACACCCATTTCCACCCCTAAGCCTGGGACTGTGCCCACCCTTCACTTTTCCATCTCGCTTGGAGAATGGGTACTATGGTTGTTCACAAGCATTTTAAACATTATTTTTTTCTAATTTTTTTAATGTTTTATTTAGTTTTGAGAGGAAGAGTGCCAGTGGGGGAGGGACAGAGAGAGAGAGGGGGAACAGAAGATCGGAAGCTGGCTCCGCCCTGACAGCAGCAAGGCTAATGTGGGCTCAAACCCACAAGCTGTGAGATCATGACCTGAGCCAATGTCGAACGCCCAACCAACTGAGCCACTCAGGGGTCCCACCGTTTTAAGCATTCTGAGCTCATCTTCCTCAGTAAAGTGAACGGCCCATCTCACAGGTGGTTGATGATGTGATGCACCTACCTGGCCCATGGGGGACACTAGCAGCTCCATTCTGTCCCTTCCTGCCTCCTTCAGTGTGTCCTTCATTCTAAATCTCCTCTTCCATCATCCTTCTTCCCCAACTTTCTTTCTATTGTCCTTCATTTCATACTCATTTCTTTCTTTTGTTTCTTCCTTCTACTCTGATTCCCTTTTTTGTTTCAAATTCTCCATTTAAATCTTTTTCTCCTCTCCATTCCTAAGTATTTCCTTCTTCCCTTCCCTTCCCTATCCTTTCTTATCCTTTCCTGTCCCTTTTCTTTCTTCTCCTTACCCCCGGGGCCTTCTTCTCTGCTTTCATTTTTCCTTCAGCAAATTTGTACAAGGACTTGCTCCAGGCTCTGTTCTAGATATGGGAGACTAAGAAGAGAAGGAAGATATAAAGACTAGTCCCTGGTAGCCATTATCCACTTACATTAAAATTAAAATTAACTTTCCATCTATACTTTTGTTTAGTGAATCTCATACAGGCAGTTGGGTGGGTTTTCACCATAGTCAAAGAGTATGTGCATCATGATGGCCTGACTTAAAGCATTGGCCACACAGTATTTGGAAAGTTCACTCTGGAGGATTGGGGGGCAGGGGTGGGGGTGGAGAGTGTGCAGCTCAGAGGGAGAGAGAGAGAGAGAGAGAGAGAGAGAGAGAGAGAGAGAGAGAGATGGTCATTTTCCAGGGTAGCTGAAGCCAGGCTGTTCTTCACAGCATTATGCTCAGTGCTGCTCCATGAGCAACATCAAAGGTTTTCTTTCTCTGTTGAGAGTTGGTGCCTCCTGACAATGCTGGGGAAGCTGAGTAGGAGAGAGTGGGTAGGGCACAGGTGACAGGATGATGGGGGCTCATGTGGACTAAGGCTGGAAGGGGCTGCTTCAAGGAGGTGATCTGGCCCTGAAGGATGGATGGATTTGGACAGATGCAGAGGAAGGGAAAGGCATGGGCATGTGCTAAAATTAGGAATGAGGCCGGCATCTTATCAGCAAAGCATAAAGAGTCAGTCGGGAGTAGAGGGAAAATTTCCCATAACAAAGTTATTCCCTTGAAGGGAAGCATGATCAAGGAGTTACAGGACAAGCTCTGGAACCTGACTGCTTGGGTTCAAATCCTGGCTCTGCCACTTACTGATGTGTGACCATCGGCAAGTTACTAAATCTCTCTGGGTTTTACTTTTCTTCTCTGAAAAATTAGATAATAGTAATACTAACTTCAGGGTCATTATGAAAATTAAATGAGTTAATATATATGTAGTACCTAGGGGGCACCTGGGTAGCTCAGTCAGTTTAAGTGTCTAACTCTTGATTTCGGCTCAGGTCATGATCTCACGGTCTGTGAGGCCGCATAGGGCTCTGGGCTGACAGCACAGAGCCTGTTGGGGTTCTCTCTCCCTCTCTTTCTGCACCCCCCCAAAATAAATGAAAAAAAATTTAAAAAATCCTTAAAGATGTGCTTGGGTGGCTCATTATCCAACCAAAACATGGTTGGATAACAAGGATTTGGACCCAAACGGCCTGGCTCTGGAATCCCCACCCTTAGCACCACACTACAATACTTCTCCAGACCAGAGGGGCTGGCCTGGCATGCGGTGAGGTGGGTAGGGGAGCACAGAGGCTACCACCTTCACTTGTACTTCACTGTGGTACTTTCCCTGATCCACAGATTGCTCCTTTTTGGGGGGAGGTGGGAAGAATCCCTAATATACTCAAGTGTCAACAGCACTAAACTACAGACCGAATCACATCAGTCTCAAAATTCTTTGAGGCTATTGCTCTTGTTTCTCCAAGGGGAGTGAGACCCCCTTGAGAGCAGGCATGGATTAAACACTCTTCTAAAGTCCAGAATGGTGGGTACTTAGCAGGGGCCTGGTAAATACTGATGATCTAATGAAAAGAAGAGGGGTTTAGGGAGTGAGGAAGGATGGGGAGGGTCCCTGAAGTATATAGGGTATATAGAGGGTAACTAAGCTGTATGCTTAGGAATAAGAATAGAAACATTCTCTTCATTTTGGGGCATCACTGACAAAGATCAGACAAAGAAACAAAACAAAGCTTTCTTGCGTCCCTAAAGGGCTCTTCTCAATGTCCTCAGCCCCTAATTTTCCTTTCCAAATTGGGAAATTTCATAAAGCCAAGGTCATGTGCATTCTTAGTTTGAATAAATGCCTCATCAAAGCAGTTATCATTCCCTTTTAACATTAAGACTGTCTTGCCCACCATCTTATTTCTTTTAGACTGGGTCCCCTCCCTCTGAAGGTCTTAGTTTGTGGACAGCACTAGTTTTCTTGTGTGGTTCAGAAAGTGGGGCTCTTTAAGTAACTTCTGCTGAGCATCAAGGAAGGTCTTGATGCCTGGTTTCTGGTTCCCTCTTCTCATTCCCCCACTGGGCACCAGGAGCCATGAATTAAGAGTTTGCTTTGGTCTTTTCAAGGAAAGTCTGGGTTATGTCTTCCTTCAGGGTGGGTTAGAGGTCTCCTCCTACCAAGGTTTCCAAGTCTTTTTTGTAAGTTCAAAACCCTGATTATTTTCTCTACCCATAGGCCCGGAGTTCAAGGGCAAGGGTAGTTTGCTGAGGAAGTCAGACAGGAGGCTCTTAGAATAAACATCTCGGTGTTCATACCATGACCCCCATTTACTTCAAAGGGCTGTTAAATATAGCCGGGGCTGAGCAGACAGGGCAGAGCTAGCTTCTGCAAGAGGCCTGCCTTTGTCTGGCACACAGGCTTCTGGGGCTAACGCTCACCCCAAACTTGGCTGCCCTGTCAGACTTCCCTCCTCCAGAATTCTAGCCCTGCCATCTATCAATCATTAAGGCTACCTTTTCTTCACTTGCTTGCAATCTTCTCAGCCTATGGAGACTATGAAAGCCAGTGGTTAGCAGCAGGCATGCAAGGGGACTCAGGATCCATGCCTGAGACATATTTGGACCCCTCAAAATCAGGGTCTTCAGTGTTGACCACACCTCCTTAGCAACTGGATCGACACACACATTAAAAAACAAAAATAAGAAACCTAGCCCCATCAGCTCAGGCTCTAACAGGTGGAGAGAACTCATTATCTGATACCTCAAAGGTCTTGAAAGGACAGAATGTTCCAAATTGGGTTGCTCACAGATCATCTACAGCAGTTCTAAACTCAAAGTGAACAAAATAGCAAAATCTTGCTGGCTCTGGAGAGACCATTTGGGCTGTCTCCCTAAAGCGGGGAGAGAAGGTCGAGGCCAGGGCAGTAAATTACAACAAGCAGAGATGACTTTGTCGGACATTCTCTGACAGCAAGCCTGAGGCCAAGACAGAATCTTTACTCTCAGTGATACTATCTTAGCACCAAATCATTTTTTTCTCCCCTTGTTTCCAAACACTTTTCTTTCTGTGACATGTCTGGTGGCTAACAAAGACTGTAGTCCTGACTTTGATCAACTCCACAAAGACTTCTAGAGCCTCCTAGAAACTGCTATTAGGAACATAGTCTCTCTACTTTTAACCCTAACACTGACATTTAAAAAGAGAGCCACAGTTGTACGTTTTTCTAGATATTTTGGCCCAAGTAATTATTTTCAAATCTCAAGATTCACTAAGAACCCCATGAACATAGTGAAATTGAAATTATTAGGGTTTCAGAAAAATGTAAAGTTCTAGTGTGTGCATTTTAACATTCTTAGGGGTAAATTTTGTTGCTTTTGTACTCAAAGGTTAGAATCCTGGATATTTTTCAGTATACCCCCAAACTGAAGTATACACTGCAAAATATCCAGGAGAAAATATGATTAAACTCTGAAAACTCTTCTAATTATTTAAATAGGTAAGTGGAAAGATTTCTTTCAAATTAAAACTGTTAGCATTTGTCCAATCCTATGACCTATCAATTAAAAATCCTAATTCAAAACAAAGTCAAAGTGAAAAATTTTTTTTTTGTAAAAATAATCCAAAATCCAGAGGATTGAAAACCATGAGTTAAATGGAAACCACACGTAATTTAAAATTAATATGACTTGGGGCACCTGGGTGGCTCAGTTGATTAAGCATCGGATTATTATTTTTTAAAATTGTTTTTAACGTTTTATTTTATTTTATTTTTTTTGAGACACAGAGAGGCAGAGCATGAACAGGGGAGGGTCAGAGAGAGGGAGACACAGAATCTGAAACAGGCTCCAGGCTCGGAGCTGTCAGCACAGAGCCCGACGCGGGGCTTGAACTCACGGACCGCGAGATCATGACCTGAGCCGAGGTCGGCCACTTAACCGACTGAGCCACCCAGGTGCCCCAAGCATCAGATTATTGATTTCAGCATAGGTCGTGGTCTCACAGTTCCTGGGATCGGTTGGCGGGATCCAGCCCCACGTCCTGTCTGAATCCCCTGCTTGAGATTCTCTCTGCCCCTCCCCTGCTCATGCATGTATGCTCTCTCTCAAAAATAAATAAATAAATAAACAAACAAACATTAAAAAAAATAAAATTAACATAACTAAAAAAAAAAAAAAAAAGAAAAACTAAAGGTACAGACAAGCAGATACCAAAATTCCATTAACTCTTAGGCATAGCAGGTTTGAAGGAAACCAATTTATCTGAGTTTATCACAGACTCACCAAAACCATTCCAGACAGGTGTGTATTTAACTGATTTTGAACTCATCAGGGAATGGCACATATAAACACTTTCTCAAGTGGCCTCCACGTCTTGGAAACTGCCCTGTTTTCTAGGTTTTGCATCTTGCTCTTTTAGGGCAGTAAGTCTCTGTAGGGACTAATGGACCTCTGCCAAACACGCTCTAATTCTTGCTGCCATCTAGTGGTAAATTCAGAGACTGCAGTGTATAGTGTGGAGCGGGAGAAGACCTGGAGAAGACCTTTCCTCTGGAAAGGAAATGGGTGGGGGAAGGATGATGCCGTTCTCTGGATCCAGGCGCGCAGAGAATGAGTATTTTAAAGAGCAAGGAAATGAACATTTTTCTGCATTGCAATTAATATAAATGATAATTTTCCACAATTGCCCAGTGTCTGTCCCAAATGAATACGAGTTACATAGATAAGAACAAATACACTTTTAAAACAGTCCTCCTGACTTTAGGATGGAGAGTAAGAGAGAACCGAGTGAGCTGGACCTGACTTCAGGCCAGTCAGGGGTCTTTGTTTAAAGCAGATATCAGATGAAGGAACTCCAGGGGGAAAATGTGACATCTACCAAATTTGACAACATTTCAAGGATATGCTTGCTTCAGTTTATTCAGGTGCCCTTGGTTCAGGAAACATAGTTATGCTTGGTTAAAAATTTTGTAGCTCAGAACTGCTGCTAAAGTAATCACAAAACCACAAGCTCACAAAGCAATGTAACCCGGATAAGGGACCTCCTAAATTTGAGACCCTCTGATCCCCTTGCTTTGACAGTTGAGAAGGGAACGTTTAACCTTTCACCAGATTTAGCTAAATTTTGTAGATCCTAGGCATTCCCTATGTTTTTAGCATTACCAAACTAATTCCCAAAGGCCAGTGGAGGGAGGATGGAAAACGATGCTTTGAGCTTAGAAGAAAGTAATGCTTATTGAAGGGTCAAGACCACTGAATACTCTGAACATTTGAAGCATTTGTGCATCTCATGGCAAGGTAAGGGACCACAGTGAAATCTGTTGTTTTAAATCATGGGCTTTCAGTGAATGACTGTATTCTGCTACAATCCCTAATTTGTCTAACTGGTTTACCAGGAGTCTGAACTCTTGTGTGTAAGTAATGAGTAAGGAATTGGGAATTTTGGAGAAACTGTTGATGCCACCTGCATGCACTGGTTTTGGGCCCAGTGTGCCTCCTCAGAGAAGCCAACATCACTGTCATAAGTCACTTTGGGACAGGTGTAGGCCTGAATGAGACAGCTATCAGGACTTGGATAAAGGGCAGACAACAGGCTTCTTTATCAATCAGATCCTCTCTTTAATTTCTTTTATTTTTTGTTATTTTTTAAAAGTTTATTTATTTTGAGAAAAAGAGAGCAAGTGAACATGAGTTGGGGAGAGGGGCAGATGGTGGGGGACAGGGAGAGAGAGGGAATCTTCAGCAGGCTCCATGCGCAGCACAGAGACTGACATGGGGCTCCATCCTACAAACAATGAGATCATGACCTGAGCCCAAACCAAGAATCGGATGCTTAACCTACTGAGCCACCCTGGCACCCCTCTCTTTAATTTATTTTAAACATTTATTGGTTTATATTGGCAATCCCCTTGATGATATTGGCCCTAAAACAACAGGGATAACACTCAATAGTCTGATTCCATCAGGTGAGAATTTAAAATCATGTAGATAAGATATTAGAGGGGCATCTGGCTGGCTCAGTAGGCATAGCATGTGACTCTTGATCTTAGGGTCATGATTTCGAGCCCAACATTGGGGATAGAGATTACTTAAAATAAATAAATAGATAAATAAATAAATAAATAAATAAATAAATAAATAAAATCTTAACGAAGATATTAGAGGGTGACACAATTTGATGTATGGCTTATCCAAAATGTGGGATAGAATTATTTTGCAGAGAAAATCTCTTGAAAAGGCATTTCTGATCTTACTATGGCTTTGATTAAAACTCTTAAAACCCAGAACTTGTAGCACAGGGTCAACCTCATTAATAATCTGACCTTTGCCCACTGTTGCTATTACCTGTTTTATGTTTTTCATGCTACAAAAACCAAACTACTTCTCATTCTGTAACGTTCCCTTATCAATTTCTGTGGTTTGCTATACATTATTCCCTCTTTTTGAAAGATACCTTCCCCTATCATTTGTCTACAAAACTGGTATTTATTCTAAGACTCCTTAGATACTACCTTGCAGAGTGAACCATACCTCTCCTTGTACTAAGTCTTTGTGTATACTTCTGGTGTTGTCATTTTATTACAATGTGATTACTATTCACTATTAGAGAGTGAATTCTTTGACATTCTGGGTCTACTTGGCTGTGAAGCCACTGTATCTGGGTTGCTATGATCTATTGAGGTGTGGTGGAGTGAACTGAAGTCCTCACGGAATCCAGAGAAGCCCTGCAGACTGTGTCCCCAGAGTGTTTAGGCTTTAAATAGACACAGGGAGTCCCTCTCTTACCTTCCTTCCAGCTATGTAACCTCCTGAGGCTCCAAAGCTTTTGGTGAATGTGCCCATAAACACATCAACATCTCGAGGGTCCAGTCCAAAGAATTCTACAACACCCCGGCCAGTTGGGCCCACGGACCCAATACTGTGAGCTTCGTCTATGTAGAGGTAAGCCTTGTATTTCTTCTTTAGAGCCACGATCTGGGGCAGATTCACGATGGAACCTTCCATGCTAGGGCATAAGGAGAAATGCTTGTCACTTGCGTACACTTTCTTGGGAAGCTCTGTGATGGTCTCCCTTCCAGTACTTCTCAGACAGCCTGCCCTGACACCAGTCAGCCATGACAGGGATATGCAATTCCTTTCTTCTTAAGGCATATTCTATTTTGCTAAGATATTTGCTACTCTGTTAATCTTGTAAAGCTAATCTGGTATTATTTTATTGGTATAATTCACATTCAGTAGATTTAAGTGCTTTGAGTTGTTATAGCTAATTCCCAAGTAAACAACTAGCTCCCTGCATTGTTGATCAATTTATTTGTAAAGTCAACTAGTGTAACTAGACTGACCATTTTGGATTCTAGGTATTTTGCTAGTTTTAATTAAATTGCTCTATGGTAATCCATCTTTATCAGGTTGCTGCTCTCTGTTTGACCAGTTCCGTCTGACCTAAACTCAGTGCTTGAATTGCCAAAGATTAGAGGAAAGAATTAAAAACACACAGAAGAACTCTGCTTAAGACACATAGTATTAATAAAAGCACCATAGAAAGTCCTCAGGATCTCTTCTTCAGTGCTTATTGGAAATCAAGGGCTTATTTGAGGTATCTGGTAGTGTCCCATCTTTTTATTCCTTTAGGCCAATGGTTCTCATTCTTGAGTGAGCATCAGAATCCCCTGAATTATTTGTTAAAACACAGATTACTGCCTCCCTCCAACTCCCCACAGAGATCCTGATTTAGCAGATTTGGGGTGGGCTGAGAATTTGTATTTCTACCAAGCTCCCAGGAGATATCCTACCGCTGGTTGGGAACAACACTTTGAGAACCACTGCCATAGATGAATCCTTTTATTTTAGTCCTAAGTGCTTAATTTTTCATGGTATTGTAAATTGCAAAATCACTTCAAGTCCTCCAGCAAAGGGAAAAATATGAAGTAAATAAATAAGTAAAATTCATATTTACATGGCACCTTTGGAACTCAGTGGATTGAAAAGAACTTTTGGCTTTAATCAGTTGTCAGAACACTTGGTGAGCTGTGTCTATACCACACACAGTTTTGACTGCACTGACAGGCGAGTTCTATGAAAACACACAGACTCTCACCCTCACCACACAAAGGAGATTGTCAAACAACTCAAGCAACCCTTCAATTTAGTTCAAGAACTAATCGATTGACGCAAACAGAAAGTTGAACTTCTCCCGTCTTCCTAATTAGTTTATTTATTAAATTTAATGCATTACAAAAATAAACTTAAGTGTCAGATCGATTCAGTCAAAACAGTCCAGCTGGTTGTGCAGTTGCCCAGGCCAAGTAGTGTTGGTCTGGAGGGAGTATAATGATCATCAAGTGCAGGATTTGTACTTTTGGTTTCTTTAAAGGCCTTTCTTATTTAGAGCAGTTTTAAGGTCACATCAAAATTGAGCAGAAGGTACAGAGATTTCCCATGCACTCCCTGCCCCACATCTGCATAACTTTCCCCATTATCAACATCCCTCACCAGAGCAATGCCTTTGTTACAAATGAACCTGTGTTGACACATCATCACCACCCAAAGTCCAGAGTTAACATGAGGGTTGTCTCTTGGTGTTGTGCATTCTGTAAATTTGGACAAACGTATGAGGACATGTGCCCATTCTTAGGATATCTTACAGACTATCTTCACTGCCCCCCAAATCCACTGTGTTCTGCTTATTTGTTCCTCTCCCCACCCAACCCCTGGCAACTACTGATCTTTTCACTCTCTCCAGAGTTTTGCCTTATCCAGAATGCCATATAGTTGAAATCATGCACTGGGTAGACTTTTTAGATTGGCTTCTTTCACTTATTAATATGCATTTAGGTCTCTTCCATATCTTTTTATGGCTTGAGAGCTCATTTCATTTTTAGTGCCAAATAGCATTCCATTGTCTGGATGTAGCACAGTTAACTTATTCATCCTCTGACTTGAAGGACATTTTGGTTGCTTCCAAGTTTTGGCAATTATGAATAAAGATGCTATAAACATCCACTTTCAGGATTTTGTATGGACACAGTTTCAACTCCTTTGGGTAAATACCAAGGAGCATGATTGCTGGATTGTATGGTAAGAATATGTTTCATTTTGTAAGAAACCACCAAACTGTCCTCCAGAGTGGCTGTACATATTGCATTCCCAGCACCAGTGTTTAATAAGTCTTTCTGTTGTGGCACATACATCCTCGCCAGCATTTTACTGTTGTCATTTTTCCAGATTCTGGCCTCCTACCAGATGTGTAGCGGTATCTTGTTGCTTTAATTTACATTTCCCTGAGGACACATGATGTGAAGCATCTTTTCATATGTGAATTTCCATGTATGTATCTTATTTGGTGAGGTGTCAGTTAAGGTCTTTTTAAAATTTTTTTTTTTAATTTTTTTTTCAACGTTTATTTATTTTTGGGACAGAGAGAGACAGAGCATGAACGGGGGAGGGGCAGAGAGAGAGGGAAACACAGAATTGGAAACAGGCTCCAGGCTCTGAGCCATCAGCCCAGAGCCCGACGCGGGGCTCGAACTCCCGGACCGCGAGATCGTGACCTGGCTGAAGTCGGACGCTTAACCGACTGTGCCACCCAGGCGCCCCAGTTAAGGTCTTTTTAATCAGGTTGTTTGCTTTTTACTGGTGAGTGTTAAGAGTTCTTTGTGTATTTTAGATAAGAGTCCTTTACCAGGTCTATCTTTTGCAAATATTTTCTGCCAGTCTCTGGCTTGTCTTCCTGTTCTCGTGGCATGCTCTTCCGCAGAGCAGAAGTTGGTGATTTTAATGAAGCCAGTTTACTGCATTTGTGTTTTTCACAAGGCCAGTCTGAATGGCTGTTTTCAGATTTTCATGAAATGGAAAACAAATACAGTCATTTTCTCTTATATAAGTTTGTAAGTTAATTCCAGTATTTTCTTAGATTAATTGCTTGTTCACATGGTTTGCATTGAGCGTAGAAGGTAAGGCCATCTGACTAAGCTTAGATTGTAGCCACACCACTTCCCAGCTGAGGACTTGGGCAACGTACGTGATGTTCTTTGCTTCACATAGAACAAGCATGATGATGGAACCCTGCTCATAACGTCTTTTTAAGGAAGCCTAGAAATAATGCTTGTGAAGTGTCTGACACATAATGAGCACTCGTTGAGTCATTCTTTTTCTTAGGAGGAGCTTAGGAGAAAATGGTTGCAGTGAGGCCCAACTCGAGAAATTGGTAGCCCTTGACAATACTCTGTGTCAAATCTTCTAGGAGAGAGGCATATGGGTGTCATACATAATAAATGGCTATATGCCCTCAAAATTCTAGAATCTACTTCTCATCTTTAACATGTTATAAGTTGGTAACACAACTATGCTAAAAACCTGCCATGTCACAAAGAGCCATTCTTTGTTCTGGAACCGAATTTGGCAGGAGCCAGAGTTAATGCTGAACAGTTTGCAGACACTCAAGGCAGCTAATTAGCTATCCTTCGCTGGGGCTGGTCTAGCTGATGTTAGGAGTCTGCCCACCTGGTTTATATTTCTTCCTCTAAGATTAATGACTCTACAATACTGCTGATTTCTGGAGTTAATGCAGGGCACACATGGGTCCTAGGGAGAACTCAGCTTTTATAAAGAGTTATATTCACCCGCACTAAGTTTTCATTTTCTCAGTGTGACCAAATTTGAATCGAACCTTTTCCTATAGTGGGATATTGAGATTGTGCATGCATAAAAAAGGCTATCTGTGTGATTCCTATAAATTGCCGTCAAAAAACACTGCCAAAAATGAAGTGTTTTATTTTTTCTTCCTGAATGGAAGGTTGTGTTTCAGAGACTTCAAAAAAAGAAAAACAACTAAAATACAACTGTAGGTAGAGATAATTCTACCCGTTCATTTGAAGCTCTGTGAAAGGACCTGAATTATTCTTAAACCAGAAAGCTAGTGAATAATTTCTTTATATCTTTTCTGTTACATAATGTATTAGCTAAGTGACAAGACTCTTTTTTGAAATCTCCCTCTCACCACCTTCTCCTCCACATATAAAGCATATTATCCATTGGCAGGATTGGGCATTAAACCACTGATTTGCCAACTTACATGGTGGAAAAATCTCCTTGGCGGGCCCAAAGCATAATCCAAGGAAGAAAAGAAGGTAAAGAGAGGAAAAGAAAGGAGCTAAGACTAATTAAAAATAAAGTACTTTCTTTTTCTTTTTTCTTTATTTGTTTAAACCATAGGTTAAAGTTCTGAATCCTTAAACTTACATTAATTTGGGCAGGAGAATGGCTTACATCCTTAGAGGAAATGATATTCTGAGACTTAAACATTTGTTTACATATGTATTTTCTGGAAGGGCTAGTTATTATTTCTTAATACTTTTTATTTTGGAAGTTTGGGCTCTAGTTATACTAGATTATATCCCAGGTTATTTGGAACCCGCTGCCCTTCTCTAGTGTGTGTGTGTGTGTGTGTGTGTGTGTGTGTATACACACACACACATATATATATATATATATATATATATATATATATATATATATATAGGGCTTGAACTCATGGCCCTGAGATCAAGACCTGAGCTGAGATCAAGAGTTGGACACTTAACTGACTGAGCCACTCAGGTGCCCCTTTAGTAGATTTTTTTAATAGTTTTGAGATTTCTCAACCACAATGACTTTTCAGAGACACAAAACTAGAAGAGTCTGACTTTAAAACAATACTTAAAAGAAAGCAGATGAGAATGCTAAAATACGATTGTACTTTTAAGCCCCAAATCATGAACTCATGGAACTTTATATTTCAAGTTTCAATCTCCCTATTTTACAGATGAAGAAACTGAACCCTAGGTAGGTAAATGGCGAAGGCCACATGGATGACTTCACCTTTTCTGTGTTTACTTCGTTGGATGGGGACACGTGAATGGACTCCCTTGTTGATATGTGGCCTCTGTCCCAGCAGGGCTGCCTGGTTTGAACCCTGGCTCTCTCTCATCTCAGCCATCTGCCTTGAGTCGAGTGTCTTCATCTTCACAGTGACATCAAAATACTGGGGGGACACCTGGGTGGCTCAGTCAGTTGAGTGTTTGACTTTGGCTCAGGTCATGGTCTCATGGTTCAGTTCATGAGTTCAAGCCCCACCTTGGGCTCTGTGCTGTCAGCACGCAGCCCACTTCAGATCCTCTGTCCCCCTCTCTCTGACCCTTCCCCACTCGTGCTCTTTCAAAAATAAATAAACCTTTAAAAATAGATATAAAATGCTTTATAAAAAATGTACAGGGGAGGCTTACTCAAAATCACACATGGGGAGCAAGAGTAAGCCCATGTGTTTAGTAAGTAGCAGACACATAATAAATGTGAGCTCCTTCCCCTGACATCCATTCTCTCGCTGGGTGAAGAGCAAACAGCTTCACTCTGCAGACAGCTTACCCTTTTCCACGTTGCAACTTCCTCGACTGAAAATAAATTTAATGATGGAGACAGCTGCCCTTGTTGTGGACTTACTGTGGGCTGGGCTTCTGCCAGGAACTGGTCCTATGATCTTATTTAATATTTACAAAATAACCCTATGAAGGACACAGCACCGTAGGTGACAACACTAGGATTTGAACCCAGGGCCTGGGCCTTCCTCCAAACCCTGGCTCCTCCATATTCTCTATATAGATAATGAGACTTAGATGGTTTATGGATGGTGGCATTATTATTGTCATTACTATTAATTACTATAATTATCATTCTCATAACTGCTTTTGTGGCGTTTATGGACTTCTTAGACTTGGTATCTAGCTTTTCCTACCTTGATACCTGCCTGAAACTGTCTGATTTGGCTGAATGCTCTTTTTAGGAATTATGAAAAAAAAATGGACTCATGGGAGGCTTTTGTGGTGGGGGGACTTTGCCCATGGTGGCAAACCATAGCAATAGATAAAAAAATATATATCTGGGAGTAAAACTTCAAAGGAAGCTTTGTGTTGATATCAACAAGGTATGTGTCTATAACACAACTCTAAAAAGTAGAAGTGTGTTTGTGAACTGTTGATTCTTAACCCTGGCCCTTTGGAAAATCTTGTGGGAAATAATTTCATTTTTTGGTGATAGAAGCAAATGAGAATGCCCACTATGTGCCAGAACTCCAGTCTAGGCTAGCCTTGTTTTAAAAATGAGGAAACTGAGGCCCCAGGAAATATTGAGGCCTAAGAGGTCCCCTGCTTCCTAGCATTGAATGGGCCCTTTTAGCTCACAGTTTCATTTAAAGACAAGATTCTGTGCGGGTGAGACAAAAGAAAGCTCCTGTGAAGGGAGGTCCATGGAAAGTGGAGGTTTCATTGTATAAATAAATGTCAGGATGACTGAGCCACTATGGAAGATTGTCTCCAAAGACTGCCTGCAAGTCTCCCCATCCCTCCACACACAAGCCAATCCTCCCATTAAGAGGTGGGCTCTGGGGCACTTGGGTGGCTCAGTTGGTTAAGTGTCTGACTTCAGCTCAGGTCAGGACCTCGCAGTCTGTGAGTTTGAGCCCTGCGCTGAGCTCCGTACTGACAGCTTAGAGCCTGGAGCCTGCTTCAGATTCTGTGTCTCCCTCTCTCTCTGCCCCTCCCCCGTTCATGCTCTGTCTCTCTCTGTCCCAAAAATAAATAAACGTTGAAAAAAAAAATTAAAAAAAGAAATAAATAAACAAAAATAAATTAAAAAAAAAGAGGTGCTCTCTCTCTTCCCCTTGAATCTGAGCTGGCCTTTTGCCATACTTTGACCAACAGAGCATGGCGGATTTGCTGTACTGGTTCTAGGCCTAGCCATTAAAAGGCAGCAGCTTCTGCTCTCATCCTCTTGGAAGACAGATATTCCTTCCATGTTGTAAGGAAGCTCCAGTTTGATTGCTCAGTGAGAAGAGCCTACATATGGAGAAGGCACTCCAGAGAAGAGAAGGGAACAAGGTACTTCAGTCAACCGCCAGTGCTGACTGAGGTCATTTTCACATTCCAGATCCCAGTTGAACTCCCAGCTGAATGCAACCCCATGAATGACCCCAACCAGCACCACGTGGAGCAGAAAAACTGCCCAGTTGGTCCAGACAACCCACAGCGATGTGGGGAATACTAACTCATTGCTGTGTGTAAGCCGTTAGGCTTCAAATGGCTTGTTACACAGTATGAGATAACAGAGCAGGCACCATTGCTAGCGAATCCCAGGTTGTGGTTTGGTGCCATGCCGGTGTGGAGCCAAAAGTCCACACCTGGCCCTCCTGCCCTCCTGAGACCATGGTGTGACATGGGCCCAGCCATTAACAAGCCTTGCTGCTGGAGTGGTTTCTCTATGTAACTGATGGGAATAGTTGACAGTGAAACGCTGGTGGTCCACTTAATTTCAGCCACGATCAAAGTACTTAAAACACAACTTTCCTTTAGTGGAGCTAAGCTTTGTTTATTTGCAGTTGGATTCGGTTAACTCTGGTTAAAGGAGACACCCAATCTGCTCTCCCTCAGCTGATCCATGCTCCTGCAAGCCCAGGCCTGAATGACAGGTGTTTAGATAAGGGCTCCCCTCCTAAGCTGGCAGCTGGCACAGATCACACAAGGGAGCAAGACCTGTGCCTGAGGTTATGACAGCCCAGAGTCCATAGGAGATGACTTCCCAAAAGTAGCAAGTTCAAGGCCAGTGAGTAAATTATTAATTAAATTGAAAATTTTTTTAATTTTTTTAAATGTTTATTTTGGGTTTTTTTTGAGAGAGAGAGAGAGAGAGAGAGAGAGAGAGAGAGAGAGAGAGAAAGCAGGGGAAGGGCAGAGAGAGAAGGAGACACAGAATCTGAAGCAGGCTCCAGGCTCTGAGCTCTCAGCACAGAGCCTCACATGGGGCTCAAACTCACAAACTGTGAGATGATGACCTGAGCCAAAGTCGGATGCTTATCTGGCTGAGCCACCCAGGAGCCCCTAAATTCAATTACTAATTGAATTAATCCACAGCAGGGTATCTCAGCCTCAGCACTGTTGATATTTTGAGCAGGGTGATCCTCTGTTGTAAGGGCCTACCTTGTGCACCGTAGGATGTCTAGCAACATCCCTCGCCTCTGCCCACCAGATGCCAGTAGTACTAAAGTTGCGACAACTGACAATTGCCAAGTGTGTCCAGAGTAGAGGTGGGTTGCGGGGAAGAAATCACCTTGGTTGAGAATGCTGCTCTAAGGTGATTGCAAAGACTTCACAAAGAAGACACGGTCTGGGGGCTGACCTGAGGAGGTACTGCATACATTGGGTTACTGAAAACGTGAAATACCAGCTTTGCAACCCCACAGAAGCACTGGGAACACCCAGAACACCAACCCCTGGGGCAGTAAGGACTAGAGAAAAAACAAAATGATATCTGGCTTATTATTGTTGTTGTTGTTGTTATTATTATTATTATTATTTTACATTTAGTAGAAAGCACTTCTTTTTTTCCAAAAGGGATGAAGACACATTTCTTCTGCTGCTGGTTTATCTATTCATGGAACAGAAACGATGTGCACTCGAGTGGCTGAATGAAGGGCTCTATCAGATCTCAAGTTTCCTTTGCAAACACACTTCTCCTTGCAGGGAAGTTAAGCTCTCATTCCCTTCTGTTTAATATTGTTCACTTTTCTGTAATTATAAGAAACGTCTCCCTTGATTCTTTCAACATTACGATTGTTTGAGAGCTGATTTAGGAGTGAGCACTCTGAGATGATGTTTCTTTGACTCAGGGACTTGGGCATTAAACAGAAGGGGTGGGAGGCATCCTTCATTTTAGTGTCAGTAATCAGTTCGGACAGAGAATGAAGCAAATCCCACCACCATGTTCCTCATAAAAGTGCAGCTCTCAGTGACTTAGTGGGTGTTTTGTCCACTTAGCTTCAAAGTGGTGGGAAATGGAGCATACCTTCAGATGCTGAGTCCAGCCGCTCCCAGCTTTGGATCAGGAATTGCCCTTGAGGTTAGTCTTACCTTGTGGAAGATGCGCAGGGTTTTTGTATTCTAATGCCAACAACTGGCCAAGTTCAGCAAGCCACTGGAGTTTGTGTGTACTGTCTAGTTAGAAGCATCTGGGTACGTAGCAGCCATATCTACTATAGCCATAGAAGGCAAGAAGCATTCTGATGTTGAATAACCCAGCCAGCAAAAGCCTTTGAAGTTGTGGGCCAGTGAAAGGTAGTGGAAAGAATTATTGCAATGCCCTCTAAGGGCATTTCTGAGGACACCTTCACAAGCATCCAGCCTCCAAGGTATTCTGCCATATGTACAGACATTGAAAAGATAGGTGACCCAAGGCTGACAGCTCACATTGGTAGCTCTGGCTCAGGTCTCTCCATAATACCTAATACCTAAGTTGTTTTTCCATTTAGCTAGGAGAGGTCAGCCTTTCCTCATTTGTTAGCTTGCTACAGGCCCCACTGTGTGCAAACATCTCAGGTGATTTACATACCTGTAGATGCCCTCAACTAGGATGAGAATCTTCTTCCAAGCTCTGCGGATTCGAGGCTGGCCATAGATTACAGCATCTCTCAGGAGCTTCTCTAGGCTTTGCATGTCTTTAAATAATACCAAAAAAGAAAGTGAGTCATGACAGGGTTTGCTTTTTCCTCCCCCATTTTCTTTTTTGAGAAGGCATCAGGTTTCTTTCTTCTTCTTTTTTTTTAATGTTTATTATTTTTGAGATAGAGAGAGATATAGAGCATGCAGGGAAGGGGCAGAGAGAGAGGGAGTCACAGAATCGGAAGCAGGCTCCCGGCTCTGAGCTGTCAGCACAGAGCCTGATGTGGGGCTCGAACTCACAGACCGCAAGTTGGACGCTCAACCGACTGAGCCACCCAGGCACCCCAAGAGAAGGCATCAGGTTTCTTAGGCTCAGGCTTAGACCTGAACTTTTTCAGAGAGCCAGATTAGAATCAGAGAACACCTGGGGTGGAGGGAGGGAGAGGCTTATACTTTAGTAGAATTTAACTCTGACAAGATGAATAGTCAGGTTTATATAGTAGGCAGAATCACCCCACCCGCACCCCCTGCTGGAGGCACATGGTTTTATAGGCTCTTTTGAGAGAGAGAGAGAGAGAGAGAGAGAGAGAGAGAGAGAACATGAGCAGGGGAGGGGCAGAGGGAGAAGGAGAGAGAAAGAATCCCAAGCAAGCTCTGCACTGCCAGTGCAGAACCCACTGTGGGTCTCGAACTCACGAACTGTGAGATCATGACCTGAGCCGAAGTCAAAAGCCAGACGCTTAACCAGCTAAGCCATCCAGGCACCCTGGTTTCACAAACTCTTAAAGGGCTCTCCTCTCCTGCTTCAGCAGAGATTGGAGATTCTCCATTAAGTGCATCCTGTGGGCTTCAGCTTTGATACCAGGTTAAAATGAACTTGGAGGTATATCATTAACTGATACTCACCAGTTGTGTAGCCATGAGCATATGAGAGTTTAGCTGAGTTAGTACAGAGTGGTGGCATTGCTGGCAGGTGTCTCACTTCCTACACTTTGAGACCTGACTTTTGACATCCCCCACTCCAAACTTTAAGCACGGGAAAAATTAGCACTCTTTTGAAAATTATTTGGAAGCATCTGGATACATTAATAAGTGCTCACAATTATTAAGCCCTATCTGGATTCCAGCCTTCCTTCTAAGCATATTCTTTGTAATGACTTGTCTAATCCTAAACATGACCCTAAGGGGAGGTACCTTCATTTTATGTTTCAGGAAACCAGGGCACATATAGGTCTGGTAAATTGCCTGAAGTTTATGATCACAACCAGCATAGCCAGGATCTGAACCTATGCAGTCTGGTACCAGGACACGCATTCGGAACCACTACCTTAGTTGAGAGCTCTTGTTCCTTCTTCTCAAACTACTCCATGGTCATGTTGAACAAAGAAGGATGGATGTCTGGTGGATTATTCTTGTTAACTTGTGATGTCAAATATAATTCACAGTGACTTTTCATTTATCTGCAACCAGATGTAGATGACTGGACTTAGGCTGAGTGATTATTGGGGAAGATTGGTCTACCATTCCAGCTGTAGGGGTGTGTGTGTGTGTGTGTGTGTGTGTGTGTGTGTGTGTGTGTGTGTTTAACTTGCAAAGCCCAGAGAGAGAGAAAAAAGGCAGAGGCTTATGTGCAAGTTTTTTAGATTCATTATATTTTTACCACATTTCTTTGTACTTTCAGAACTCTCCCTTTTTGAGAATCTGAAACCAAAATACGTTAGGTCTATAATCTGATTTCAGTTTGAAAAGTTGGAGATGCTACTCAACAGCTGACCTGACTGTTATGTAATGTTCATCAGGCATTAGAGATTCCACTAAAAAATGCTCACAGGAGGGTTTCCTGGGTGGCTCAGTTGGTTAAGCAACTGATTTTCGCTCAGGTCATGACCTCAATGTTCATGAGTTCAGGCCCGTGTCGGGCTCTATGCTGACGGCTCAGAGCCTGGAGCCTGCTTCAGATTCTGTGTCTCTGTCTGTCTCTGCCCCTCCCCTGCTCTCTGTCTGTCTCTTTCTCAAAAAATAAATAATAAACATTAATTTTTAAAAAAATGCTCACAGGAAAAACCTAGCAGATATAAATCTAAGACGGTACAGTCAATATTGGTGTTAGCCACTGCATCAAGAAGCAATATACCAAAGAAGCGATATTCAGTGGATCGTCATTGGTCTAGGCTTAAGTTGGCTGAGGTTCTTTCTTTCAGTGGAGATCCCTGAAACTTTATTTTTAGTCCCAGTCTGTGGTGGAATCTGTTTTAGGATTTCCTTACAGCTCTAGTACCAGCACACAATATTAGCACAAAATCAATGTTTGATTATGGAAAGGAATGTAGACCAGGAAAAAGGAAGGAGAATACCACTTTAAGATCTAAATAGAAATTATGAAAAAGGATACTTGCCTCATTTCTGCAATAATATTTCTTTAAAATTTTTAAAAAAATATTTATTTATTTTTGACAGACAGAGTGCAAGCGGGGGAGGGGCAGAGAGAGAGGGAGACACAGAATCCAAAGCAGGCTCCCGGCTCTGAGCTGTCAGCACAGAGCCTGACGCGGGGCCTGAACCCATGAACCATGAGATCATGACCTGAGCTGAAGTCACTTAACCGACTGAGCCACCCTGGCACCCCTCTGCAATATTTCTTACATTAACTGTGTTTTTGGTTTTGAAGACAGGCAGACATCTTGTGTCTTCACAGATGTAGTGTTTTACTGACACTACATCATTACCCACTAGATGGCAGCCAAGGAAACAGAAAGCAGCTTTCTTATTTTGAGAATTTCTGGGACAGTAAACCTTTGCCTGTATGGACATTTTGCTTTAGGCTGAGTTCCTAAGATGTTGAAGGAACCCGCGTGATTGAGATATACAGCTCCTTTTTCTATAATCTACTGCAGGCCTGTTAGTCTCTGAATGGAATAAAGAAATGACGAATGTAAGATTTCTGTAGAGTGTTTTCCTTCTGGGAAGTGGAATGTATAAGTTTTTTGGTACAGAAATGACACATGATGAGGGTGGTTCCAATGCCATAATAATAAAAACAAACCCAGTGAACCAAATTAGCAGTCACTTAAAAAGTGAATATTCTAAGATGTTGAAAAATCTGTATATGCAGACGTTATTCTACTTTTTATGCAATCAACTAGGTCACATACATATTATAGGTTTAGTCTGGGATTAGGTTTAAAATGGACACCACTAAAGAACATAGAAGATTCTCTCCATTCTTGCATTAACAAGCTGGACAGAGAAGAAGCCTTTAAATGGCCACGATGTGTTTCATGCATTTTGCAGATGCAAACAAGAGGAATCCCAGTCCCTTCCATGGCAGGGAACTCATCCTGTTCCACTTGAACAGAGAGTTTCCTGGGGATTGTCTTTGGTGAAGCTTCAGAAAACCCGTGGGGTCCACACACTGGGATTCTTGAGCAGAGGGGGAATCAATCAGTCTTATTTCCCCTTGTGAAGCAGAAACTCATTGACCTCTTAGAATCACAGAAGCTGCACAGAGAAAGGGATAACTTCACTCAGTGCGGGATTCTGGACTTACATTAGTGTCTGGTAGCTTCTCTTTGGTTCTTAGGGTCTGGCTGTATAATGCTACAGCATGTGGGGTACAGATCTGTAGGATTCAGGGGTTTGTGGTTTATGTTCTGCAGGCCTTGTGCGAGTCTACTGTTTCAACAAGCCACATGCTAACATTTTTAAATAATGTTGCTTATTAAAGCACTTATATTTGCATGATGTTAATCCTCATGACACCTCTAAGAAGTAGGAAAGAATGATTACGTTTGTGTTTTTTGTTTCTTTTTTTTTAAAGTTTATTTATTTATTTTGAGAGAGAGAGCAGGGGAGGGACAGAGAGAGGGGGAGAGAGAGAATCCCAAGCAGGCTCTGGACTGTCAGCATGGAACATGATGTGGGGCTTGAACTGTGAGATCATGACCTGAGCTGAAATTAAGAGTCAGATGCTTAACTGACTGAACCACCAGGTTTATAAAACCAACAACAACCAAAAACCAAATGCAAATAAATCAGTTTGATATATAAAGAAAATACTGAGATATAGATATTAAAATAAAAGAATAAATTTGATGCTATCAAGGGGCACATACATAGCACTACTGTATAATATCTTTCTAATCTTATGACACGCTATGAATTTGTGATTGCCACAAATTTGGGTATCAGCAATGCCTTAGACATCATTCACTACCATCTGGCTCAATAAAGTGATTTTCTCTGGTTTGTGAAGGGCTGAGAGGAGCAAGCTGGCATGATGGGTGCTGAACATTTAGCCATTAAAAATGAAAACAGAGGCCACATCTAGGTGAGTGATGCAAAGGAAGTCCTGGTCTGTCACAGGAATGACTAATCGGTTTACTGAATTACTGAATACCTGGAATAATCCAACAGTGTGCCAAAAACGAATCAGGCTTAGGTGACAAATATACTTTGAGAGCCTGTTCTTGAGCCTGTCCTTAAATTCAAAGCCCTGATAGTATCAACAAGCCTCTGGGGTCTGGGGAAGCTGCAGTTAATGTACTGTGAAAAGTGGGCATGGGGAAACAAGGAAGCCATATTCTTCTCAGAAGAGAGGTTGGGTATAGTTCAAAAAGTGTCTTCCTGATGATAAGAAGTCGATATTGGGCTTTGTTCTGACTTTTGCATACAGTACAACACTGTTTCTTCTGCCACGGTTTCCTCGTTCCTCTTCTCTTGTGCCACTGACCTTTTATTGAGACACAAGACCGTTCTTACTGCTCATCCGTCAGTGGCTTTCCCTTCCTCTGGATCCAGGGCCAGCGGTCATGGTCAGGCTGAATACGGCCTGTACCTTCCATATGCTGCTCATTGTGGTTGATGGTTCACACCTTCTTCCTTCAAAAGTCCACAAAACCCACCTCCAGCTACAGCTACATTTAGATGCATTCTCTGCTTCCCTGTTCCATGGGCTGCTCACCAAAGATATTTTCATGTCTGCACATGATAGACATCCATCAGATATCTCTTAAGTGAAAAGACGGTTGGATGATGAAGGAAAGCTACCTGTTACTCT